AAAAAGGTGCTTCCATTTCCCTCTGTGTCCCCTAGCTAAGAGCAGATGTATTTCTCTGGGTGATGTATGTCACTAATGGCTGGCACGCAGAAGGTGTATGGCTGTGCAGGTGGGGGCAGGTGTCCTGTGGATTGGTGTAGGATGGGAAGTGCAGGTGAGGAGAATGGTTGGTTATTTGTATGTTACTTGATGATCCCATTATTGCTTTGATGTGTAGAGAATTTAATGCTGCTAACAAAGGTCAGAGATTCTGGTGCATTAGTCTCTCCATGGCATACCAGTAGTGTGATCTGCTAGTGAACCCACAAACAAGTACTGATTCCCCACCATGCCTCCTAACCATCCACACACCCACTCTTCACCATATCTGCTCCACCCACATACCTATATATCTACTGCACTTACCCCCACCCCATTCACACACCCATTTTCCCCATTACAACTGCCTCCCCACCACACATCCAGCCATGTGCCCTCTCCTGCAACTAGGCACATGTGCCCACCCACTCACACATACACCCTCTTCCTCTCACACATACATCCACTGTCTCCTATAGCCACATACCTGCTCACCTTCCACACCTACCCTCTCACCCACTTCCCCAACCTGGAGAGAAATTGATGGTGGCTCTAATTCCAGCCAACAGCAGGGTCTGGATTCTGTTGACAAAAAAAGAATAATTCCATTATAAGAGTGACTTTGGGGATTGAACTTGAAAGAGACCGCAAGGGAGTGAGGGAAAGATAAATAGAGAGCATCTTCAGGGCAGTGGAACCCAGAATCCTTAAACAATGAAAGGGCTGCAATAGCCACTACAAATCCCACCCGTTTCTAATTGGAATACAGGAGAGCGTATTATTGGGAAAACATCACTGTTTGTCCAGGGCCTTGAGCAGCCCTTGGCTAGCTGTGGGCAGGAAGGAATGCATATTGCTTCTTCTCAAAAATGATGTGGCCTGCATATTTTGGAGTCAGAGAGGCAATAAGAACTGGCTCTTTCACGTGTATCATGCCTGTGTCTAAAAATTCAGCTCATGTAAGGACCCAGAAGTTCTGCTGGGAACTACCAGGGAATGGGATGAAATTAAAAAAGAGAAAACAGACTCTGAATATCATGGAAAAACTGCCTCAGTGAGACCCATAAGCCTGTGGAATAGTTGTCCCAAAATGGTGGAAGTCCCATCACTGGGGACAACAAAAATAAAAGGAAGTATAAGGGTTTGGAACATTAGGTCACAGATAAAGGAAAACCATAAAGGCAATATATAGCCTATACTTATTAACAAGTTCCTTTCCTGTCTGATAAGGTGTTCCTCACTCAATGGTTTGTTTTTACAGCACTTGTCCAGTTCTGAAAACTGGGATCTGTCTTTCATGAGACACCCCTGCTGTCAGAATCCCTCCTCTATAATGGGTCCTCTTTCTCCTTCCCTTAGACAGTTAGAGACTATTGTCCTTTGACCCAAGGGGCTCCTAGTCAGAGACTTTTATTTGGGTTCTTTTGTCTTTGTAAATGCTGAAACCTATGTCTGCCCCAGACTGTAAATGCAAACTAGCACAGTTGACAGCTGTCCATTTCCTCATGTTGCTTAGGTCAGCTCTCAGACTCCCCCTACCTCGGGGAATAGGGCTTGCTCCCAACTGATTGGGAACATAATATCCTACATGTTACATAACTCTAAAATGGTTTCCCATTCAAACATTTTGCAGTGCCCATGATAATTAGCTAATTCTTATGTTTTGTCAGAGACCACACATGACCCCTTTTGGTGAAAGAGTAAGATGGTTGGACACAGAGGCAATATTCGTGCCCGGGCCTGCCTGTGTCACACCATAGGAGGTCTTTTCCAACTCTGGATTCTCTTACATGGGTCTATGATTAATATCCCACATGGAGTGATTGCCATAAGTCAGTGTTATCTGCAAAGGAAGGGGACACTCTAATTCATGTATTAATGTGTTTATGGAATTTATAACATTTGCTCATCCAGGGACCCCTTATACATATTGAGGGACTGAAACGATAATCATAAATCTGCACAGGTTGTCAGAGTTCTAGCATGAGACTTCAATTCCACCCCTTTAGAGATGTACACCAGTCTCCTCAGGCAAAAAACTTGTGGAAATAGAGAATATTAAGTACTTATTTTTATAGCTCATTTCCTCCCCTCACATCTCTATTTTCTGTGATGTTCTTGAGGAAGATGGGAAAATGTAATTTCTTTCCTGACTCTGGTTTTCCTTTTCCTGGTATTCTTCCTACCTCTGTCCTGTGCCATGTCCTGTGTTTCTAGTGATACTTAAACCTGATACGGATCTTGGTTTGTTTCTTTCCTTGTTTTGCATCACAGCACCATTGATCATATCAGCATGGCTCCAGGAACGTTAGCCAACTTGTACCAGTAAGGGAAAAAATAATAGAGGAAGAGACATCAGAGCTAGAAAAAACTTATTCGGAAACCTGCACCATGCTAGTACATATTTGTCCCCTACAATATCCCCTCCATTAAAACAAATGAGTTTTACACACATCTCAAGGAGAGAGCAGACTCTCTCACACACACACATAGGATCACACCCAAAATAGAGGCAGAGAAGACCTGATAGTCCATCCCTGGCTAATATTTCCTGTAGTCTATTCTGCAGGGCTTTACCCAGTCTTGTTTTTAGTATCCCCAAGCAATGGGAGTTCAACCACTTTTCTTGGAAGACTGTTCCACACACTAACTTACCCTAAAGTAAATTTTTCCTGCTGTCTAGCCTCAATTTTTCCTTTGCTCAGGTTCACCCTTTTCTAGTTATCAGGGCCGGCTCCAGGCACCAGCCGAGCAAGCTCATGCTTGGGGCGGCAGATTCCAAGGGGCAGCATTCCGGCTGCCCTTTTTTTTTTTCTTTCTTTTTGGTTTGCCACTCTGGCCGCCCTATAGGGGGCGGAGGAGGGGAGCGCCCTGCAGCAAACTCGGCAGGGCAGCCTGCGTCCTTCCCTCCCAGCTGACCGGCGCGGAGCCCTCCTGGCAGGCGGCACGGCGTGGTGGGTGAGGCCGCGTGGCGAGTGCCCCGCTGAAGCGCTGGCTGCCCCCCTTCTCTCTCTCCCCCTCCCCCTCCCCTTGCTAGACCCGGTGCGCACTCCGCTGCACATCTGCAGCACAGGGAGTCCCCCTGGCTCCGGCTGCCCTGCAGGTTTTTTTTTTTCCTGCTTTGCCGCTCCGGCCCCCCGCAGGTTTTTGTGTGTGTGTGTATGTGCGCGCTTTGCTGCTCCGGCCGCCCTGCAGGTGTTTTGTATGTGTGTGTGCTTTGCCGCTCCGGCCGCTCTGCAGATGTTTATTTGTGTGTGTGTGTGTGTGTGTGTGTGTGTGTGTGTGTGCGCTTTGCCGCTCCGGCTGCCCGGCAGGTGGTTTGTGTGTGCTTTGCCGCTCCAGCTGCCCCGCAGGTGGTTGTGGTTTTTTTGGCTTCGCCACTCCGGCCCCCCTGCAGTGTGTTTTTGTTTTTGTTTTTTTGCTTAGGGCTGGCTCTGGCTTTTTTGCCGCCCCGCTAGTTATACTTCCTTGATCTATTCTAAACAATGCCTCTCCCTCTCTCAGGATTTTTGTAGGTCCTAGATGAAAGATAACATGTGTGGGTTTTTTCCTTAATTTCTAACCATGGGTTTTTAAAAAAACCACCAAAATCAAACCAAAAGTGTAAGCCTTCAGATGTTTTCTGTGTGTTCCTTGTCCTTGTAAAATTCCTGGTACCCATTTTTGGGCCACAAACATCCCTCTGGATGATAGTCAGCTAGACCTTTAGGCTGACTGGCAGCTCACTGAACAGCTGTGTTGATTGTGACAATTGGGCCGTTTCAGAATGTTTTGTCCTCTGGGTAATGGAGCTTCTGCAAGGTTGAAGGAGCCATTGCCCGTCATCCCTGGCTGAGAAAGGGCTTATGCCAGTCTGTGTACAATTTGTGAATGTATGTGATTGCTGAAGCAATACCATTTCGGGCTGTATAGTTTTTCTAAATGCTGGGCCTGTCCTGTGTGTGGGCAGGATATCTTCAAGCAGGCTGATGACCTGCTGTTCATTTTAAAGACCTAAAGGAAGGCAGTATGAAAATTACTGGGTAAAGCTTATATTTAAGAAATATCACTATATGTGTTTAAAAATTGAACAGTTGTATCACAGTCTGTGATTTCTTGCAAAATTATTGCTTGGAAAATACTCTCTATCTGATCAAATGCCCTACCAAATAAGTGACATTCCTTAAAATATTTGATATGTGATCTCCAAAGTAAAACCCATGTGCTGCAGGAAGGGGTTTTGGTGACTCAATAGGGGCTATCTAAACTAGTGACCCTGGACAGTGCTAGGGGAAGCTGGGCTGCCAGAGAAGAAGCTGTCTTTTAGAAGATAATAAAATTAAGGTCCTGGCATCAAGTGATCATTAAAGATCCCATGGCCCTTTTCACAAGAGGGGGCGCTATCCTGGGAGTCCTGGGAAATTCTAGTGTGGATAACTGCATTCTGCTTCCCTACATTGTAGTTTTAACTGGATACAATATCTTCTGCTTCGTGCTTTAACCTGTTGTGTAATATTGCTGTGTGAGGCCACTGCTGGGTGAGCCACTGCATTTATACCCCAGAATTGGCTGCATTTCAGTGGTGGGTGAAGTGATTGCTATATAAACAGTTTCAGAGTAGCAGCCGTGTTAGTCTGTATCCGCAAAAAGAAGAACAGGAGGACTTGTGGCACCTTAGAGACTAACAAATTTATTAGAGCATAAGCTTTCGTGGACTACA